GTGAATTCCAGGGCTGACTCCATAGCTACTGGGAAACCTTGTCTCGAAAAACACACACACACACAATGCAATGGTAATTTATTGGTTCTAGATTTTTGGTTCTAGATGTGGGGAAGTTTGTCAGGGTGCCAAATGGGGAGAGCCTTCCTACTGCCTCACTGAGGACAGCAACACATGAGCAGACACCCAAATGAGTAAGGGGCCATTGTAATTATAAATCTGCTGGCCAGCCCCATCACCTGGGTACCCTGTCCCTTTAAGAAACAAGCCCCACCTTCCAGCACTCCCAATGTCCCCCTCAACTGATCTGTCTCCTCTCTCTCTGTCCTTCTTCTGAAAAGGCAACTTCTGCCTCTCCCTTTTCCCTTTTTTTTTCTCTCTCTCTCTCCCCTCATAACCCCCTTATCCTTATACCCTTCCCAATACCCACTCAGTAAACTCTATCCAAACTTTCTCTAAACTCCTTAGTATTGTCACAATAGCAATTCAATTTGAGCTCCCTCCCCCCCACCCCCTGAGTTTGATGTAGCCTAGCCTGGCCTTGAGCTCACTGTGTAACAGGACAACCTTGAACTCCTGAATGTTCTGTTTGTGTTTCCTGAGTGACAGCCCTGGTGGCCAGGAGTCCTGAAGGAAAGGAAAGTATTCTAACTACAGCAGTAACCAAGTCTTTTGAAGCCTGAGTTTCTTCACTAAAATGAGAGACTCACACATCCTGTGTCCTTGAGAGAAAGCTCTCATTTCTGGTGTCATTTGTAGGTCCCAGCACACGTCTGTCTCACTCGTCTCGCTTGTTCCTAAAGTCCTTTTCTTCTTTGTGGCTTTGTTATCTTTTAAAGAGTGATTCATTTCATGGTTAGGGATGGTTTGTGTTATGGAGTGTTTACCGGAGAAGACTGCTCAGACACAGGTGTAAGCCCACAGAAAGTCTTCACTAGCTGGCTGGCAACTACTCTGGAGATTTGGGACCCCAGTGTAGCACTGAGCCTTTCTCAGGGTGAGCGCTTAAGCACAAATAAAACCCGTGTTCTGGGTTGACATCGTTCAGTTAACAGCGGCTAGCCAGAGAAAAGCATCCGAAGAGCACACTTAGTCACCATTGGTAATGTCCACCATGTAGTCTAGGGCCCAGGAACATCGCTGTGCCCAGATGGGTGACGGACAAGGCAGACTCACCAGTGCCTGGATAAGAGAACTGCTGTGTTAACCAGCAAGGTGGACCAGCCAGCGTTAGACTCAGAAGAACTGCCGAGATGAGATGCTTTAGATAGTGGACAAATTCCATTCGCACCCTTGTAAGTCCTCTCACTTTAATTTGGGCTGTTACCAATCACAATAAGTTTTGTCAATCAATGGGCTGACAGTCTAACCAGCAATCCCAGCCAGTTATTGGCTAGAAATGACTAACTCTATCCCCAAGGTCCTTTCCTGTGGCATGGAATCTGATTCCCCAGGCTTTCCCTGTTTTCAAAAGACCGGTTCTTTCTTAAGGAGTTTTTCAGGAAGTCTAGCTTTACAATTCTAATCTTTGTGATGGAAACTCCCTTGTTCCTGACAACAAGGGGCCCAGCCACAGAGCACACATAGAATTATAAACTATGTAACCCTATCTCAAAAGATAAACTCCCACATCTTTTCTTTCTCCAATACGATGATCAGACACTTACAGTGGGGGCAGTAGTTTGAATGCAATTGGTCCCCATAGGCTCGCAGTGGGTGGCACTCTTAGGAGGTGTGGCTTTGTTGCTATAGGTATGGATGGCCCTGTTGGAAGAAGTGTGTAACTGTGGGAGTGGGCTTTGAGGGCTCATATACGCTCAAGCTGCCGCCAGTGTCCCAGATTGATGGAGGAAGGTCATTGGCTAATAAAGGAACTGCCCTGGCCCATTTTATTGGTTAGAGGATAGGTGGGAGGAGTAAACACAACAGAACGCTGGGAGGAAGAGGAAGTGAGGTCAGTCTCGACAGCTTTCCTCTCGGGAGCAGATGCCTGAGAGAGATGCCATGCTCCTGGCTCCTGGGCAGACGCACGCTATGAAGCTCCGACCCAGGATGGACATAGGCTAGAATCTTCCCGGTAAGCGCACCTAGGGGCGCAACACAGATGATTAGAAATGGGCTAAATTAATATGTGAGAATTAGCCTAGAAGAGAATGGGCCAAGCAGTGATTAAATGAATACAGTTTGTGTGTTGTTATTTCAGGGGCATAAGCTAGCCGAGCAGGCAGCCGGGGTGCTGGGGACGCAACCCTGCCGCCCTTATTACAACACCAGATCATTTACTATTGCCTGCATATCAAGATGTAAAACTCTCAATTCCTACTCCAGCACCATGTCTGCCTGCATGTCACCAGTCCCACCGTGATGATAATGGACTGATCCACTGAACTGTAAGTCACCCAATTAAATGTTCTCCTTTAGAAGAGTTGCCATGGTCATGGTGTCTCTTCCCAGCAACAAAAACCCTAACTAAAGAGTTCAAAGAGTTCAAGGCCAGCCTGGTTTACAGAGTGAGTTCCAGGACAGGCTGCAAAGCTACACAGAGAAACCCTGTCTCAAAAAAACCAAAAAACAACAACAACAACAACAAAAAAGGGAATATGGATGGGGCTTCTAGTTTATAGCCATGTTTGGTATCACCTCCCCTGTATCTGACTTTATCAGTTCCCAGGAACATTCCATGTTCCAGCCCCAGTAAGCAGCAGAACTTGGCAGCCTCAGCCACAAGATTCTGTCTGTAGCGTCAAGGAAACAAGAAAGAGGTTATGGAATCTCCCTCTGAGATTAAGGAAAGCCACTGAGGCCAGGTTTATGTCAGCGGTGTCTCTGCATGTGTTGGACCCAGCCATGACAAGCTCGATAGAGGCCTGAGTCTCAATAGTTTATCCTGGTTCCAAGAAAGACCACAAACTGAGACTAGCCAGGCATCACTCAGGAGCAGACAACCCAAAGGAAATTCCTAACAACTGTTGTAGATACGCTCACCTGCCAGCACACACCCATCGCTTTTCACCAGGACACTCCTAGACAAATGCCAGCCAATCAGGGGTCCTGGACCTTAGAAATTCCTCACCCCCACTTTTGCTGCTACAAAAACCCAACCCCAACTGAGCTTGGGGCTCTCTGATCACCCAGAACTTGGACACACAGAGAGTCTGAGTTTGCAAACTTGTGTAAGAATAAAGGCTCTTTGCTTTTACATACAGGACTCGGTCTCCTAGTGGGTTTTGGGAGGACTCTGTGACCTGGGTATAACACATGGAGGCCTGGGGGGGGGACATTGTGTGAAGATGTAAAGGTGAAACCTGGATTGACTTAGAAACCCCAAGATATTGGAGATGACAGAGTTATGGGATATTTACCAAGGAAAGCTGCTAACAGGAGTAAAACCAGCCCAAGAGGAAGAAGTGTGTTGCAGTCAACAAAGCTGAAAGGAGTTGGAGATCTGAAAAGCATTTTGACCTCAGACATGGAAATGCAGAGTTTGAAATTTGCCCTGCTTTTTTTTTTTTTTTTTTTTTTTGGTCTTGCTTTGGTGCAGTATTTCCTCATTATGGACCCCTTCCTCCTTTTTTTTTTTTAAAGGATACATTTTACACATTTTTAAAGTTTATTTATTAAGCATACAATGTACTGCTGGCAAGGAAGGTCTCATTACAGATGGTTGTGAGCCACCATGTGGTTGCTGGGAATCGAACTCGAGACCTCTGGAAGAGCAGCTAGTGCCCTTACCCTCTGAGCCATCTCTCCAGCCCCTCCCCCTTCCTCCTTTTTGAAATGGTAATGTATATCCTACACCATTATATGTTAGAAGTTGATGTGGGAGTCCCCTCAGTATGCTGTGAATACCATTGGTTAATAAAGAAACTGGCTTGGCCTAATAGGGTAGAACAGAGGTAGGTGGGGAAAACTAAACTGAATGCTGGGAGAAGGAAGGCGGAGTCAGGGGAGAAGCCATGGAGCTGCCATGCTGAAACCTTGCCAGTAGGCCACAAGCCTCATGGTAAAATATAAGATAATGGAGATGGGTTGATTTCAGATGTAAGAGCTAGCTAGCAATACACTTAAGTAATTGGCCAAGCCATGATTTAACTAATACAGTTCTGTATAGCTATTTCAGGAATCTGGGCAGCCGGGAAATGAACAAAAGGCCTCCTTACTACAAGATGTAAGTATGCAATCTGCTTTTTCATTTTGATTTTATAGGGATTATAGTTAAGAGATTGCATAAGTCTCAGAAGAGACTTTGAACTTTTAAACAGAGTTGATACAATGATAGACAATGGGGACTACTGAAGTTGGACTACATGGATTCTGCATTATGATATGGCTACAAGTCTATGGGGACCAGAGAGTGAAATGTGGATTGAATGAAAATTTGCCTGATTGGCCCATAGGGTATGGCACTGTTAGGAGGTGTGGCCTTTTTGGGGTGGGTGTGGTTTTGTTGGAGGAAGTATTAGTGGGGATGGGCTTTGACATTCCATATGATCAAGTCGGGGGCCAATGTCTTATTCTCTTCTTGTGGCCTGCCAATCCGGATGCAGAACTCTCAACTCCTTCTCCAGAACCATGTCTGCCTGCACGCTGCCTTGCTTTCTTCCCACCATGAGGATAATGAACTAAACCTCTGAACGGTAAGCAAGCCCCAATTAAATGTTTCCTTATAAAAGTTGCCATGGCCACAGTGTCTCTTCATAGCAATCGAAACCCTGATTATGACAGCGGGAAATGCTGCCACCCACCTGGAAATGGTATCTCTAAAAACTAGCAAGTTCTTATATCTTCCCCTGACAGGCCTGATCTTGGTGAAGTCAGTTTTCCCAGCATTTGTCTGAGTGTTAGTCTCTCATTCAGACTACTTCCTAAGTAAGGGATCTCTGTTTTTCATTGAATAAACACAAATCTGGCATCTGGCTGAGATATTTTTGCGCTAGGATGTCCATTCTAGTTATAACATATCTTGGACTGAGCAACTCAGAAAGCTTTGTGGAACCCAGATGGGTTGCCCGGTGAACGTGAGTTACCACAATCTTGCTAGTTGTTTCTGGTACAATGATCTTTCCACCTGGTGTCCTCTACCAATCTGTAGGTTTGAATTGTCCATTTCTTCTTTACTACAGAGTTAATATGCCCCACTGTCTTTAGGACCATTTGTCAGACAGCCAGGTCAGCGGCTGGTAGTGAAGTATAACAATTCCTAGTCTCTAGGAGGTCCAAGATTTTCTAATGTCCTTGCTTTCCAGCAGGGAGAAGCCCTCTTTCTCTATAGGTTATACTGTGGACATACCCAGTAGTAAAAGCACAGTAACTGTCCACACATATGATAGTGGACTTTTCTTTTCTCTGTCTGAGAGCCTGGGTCAGATCAATCTGTTCTATTATTTGGGCCAAGGTCCCTGTCTTAGTTGTGGTTTCTTTCACTGTGAAGAGACACCATGACCACGGAAACTCTTATAAAGGAAAACATTTAACTGGAGCTGGTTTACAGTCTAGAGGTTTAGTCCATTATCATCATGGTAGGAAGCAAGGCATTGTGCAGGCAGACACGGTGCTGGAGAAGGTGCTGAGAGTTCTACATCTTGATCCACAAGCAGCAGAAGACTAGTATCACGTTGGGCATAGCTTGAGCATATATGAGACCTCAAAGCCTAGCCCCGTAGGGACACACATCTTCCAACAAGGCCACCTATGCCAACAATATCAGACCTCCTGAGTACCACTCCAGTCAAGCATTGAAACACATGAGTCTGTGGGGGCCGTTCCTATTCAAACCACCCCAGGCCCAACTCAATGCAGTTAGAATAACGATTGTAGCTTCTACACACCAGGTTTCATCTTTCATCTCATACAGCCATGGATGAGTTGTCATCAGGCAAGAGAGTAACAACAGGGTTGATAGCAGTGGATTTCTCAAACTGGACTCAAAAGCAGTTCAGGAGTAGAGCCTGGTAATGGGTCGGTCACATAGACATTAGACAGCCAGCATTGGCAGTCCTCAGAGGAGAGCCTCAATGACTGATGTGGAGTGATTTGACTTAAAAGATCCTGATGAGAAGTTTACTCGCTTGTTTGGTTTTCATCAGACTAGCAGTAGCTGCCACAGCCCTTAGGTGAGCCATCCTATGGCTACATAGAGGGTACAATTTTTTGTCACAGGGTGTTTCCATGGCCCCAAAGTTTGGTTAAAACCCCTCCTGTCTTTTGTTTTGTGAACAAACTGGTCTTGAGACATCTGGAAGTGCTAGGACTGGAGTCAAAGTCAGAGCTGTTTCTAAAGTCTCAAAAAAAAAATTTTTCCACTATCTGGGGCTGACTGGATGGCAAAGGCAATCGTTTTAGCATCTGTCTTTAATTCTTCTGAAAAGGACCTAGAAAAAAATGTTTAGTCTCCTTGGTCAGTGTTGGAGAGAAGGGATAATCCCATTTTGTCCCATTTGTCTGGCAATGATCTCATGCCCAGCCCAGGGGCAGTTTTTCTACTTTTTCCAGAATGGTGAGTTTCTAGTTATACAGGATCATTAGTTTAAAAGAAGACATACATTATGCAAAAGAAAGAAGAGAAACTTTCTCTTTTCCTTCTGGCTCAGCCCAGGGGAGCTTTCCCCCTTCCCAGGGGCTGCTTAGAGCAGGCATGGAGCAGAGGGAACGCTCACCTGTTTACACAGTCGCAATAGAGGGCAGCTGGCCCTGGATGAGAGTTCTGGCCCCTCCCCACCTCCACACAGGAACCAACCCTGACCCTTGAGCCCGGAGTCAAACAATGAAACAAGCAAGCATTTGGGCTCCCATAGTGGGACAGATGGAGGTTTGATTTGGTCTCTCTGGGGTGACCTGGCAGAGCCAAAAGGATTCAGGTTGCCAAGAGGAAGGGCACAGGTCTTAAACCAGGAGGTTCTCACACCAAAGAAAGTCACAGGGCAATATAGGAAAACAGAACTGACAGAAAGACACATACGGAGAGACACACAGGGTAAAGACAGCCAGGAGCGGCCACACCTGAACAGACAGGTAATCCAGTATGTCTTGCATGGATACCAGAAACTGGATCAGTGGCTGCATCTTACCTCTTTTGTATGTCCAAATGGAAGGTGCCTTAACCAAACCCAACCTCCAGAGGTGACTCTACTGATATTTCATTTGTAATCTAGCAAGTAAAGCTTACCTGAAGATTAGAGTGCAGAGCTAAACCACTGGATAGGCAGGCAGTGGTGGCACAGTGGGTCTTTAATCCCAGCTCTCAGGATGCAGAGAGCAACCGCTCTCTGTGAGTTCGAGACCAGCCTGGTCTACAAGAGCTAGTTCCAGGACATGCTCCAAGGCCACAGAGAAACCCTGTCTCAAAAAAACCAAAAAACAAACAACAAACAAAACAAAAAACAAACAAAAGACAGGAATGATATGACTGGACAGGACGAGGAATACAAGGCTGGATGAGTAAGGAGCACAGGGCAATCTGAAGTGCAGTCTGCGGCAAACAGTCAGAGGACGCAGTCTGAAGAGGCAGTCTGAGGACAGAATCACCTTTTTGGTCTGAGGATTCAGTAGAGGTAAAAGGTCTCTCTGGTGTCTGGCTGCAACTGCTTCTCTGATCTCAACTTTCACTCTCTAATACCCGACTCCAGGTTTTTATTAAGAACAATTAGAATTCATGCCACAAGAGGCAGACTATGTGACTTTCTCATGTTTCCTTTTAGGAGCAAGGTACCAGATTCCTCTGAAGTACTAGGCAGTGATTGGTAAAAGGGAGTCTTGGGGACTTGGAACTTAGCTTATACATCCCCTGGGAGCTCCTTGACCACGACACTCTTCCTGCTCCAAGGAGCCCTGAGCACACACACCGGCCCCTCCCCACCATCCCCCAACCCTGCCAGTGTCTCAAGGTCTCTGGGGATCTTAGCAGGGCCTCCAAAACTGTTGTGGGGTAGCTACCAGAGAAGACTGCTCAGACACTGGTTTAAATCAATTGAAAGTCTTTATTTGCCAGCAATGATGTGGTTTTTATCCCTCCAGATTGGTGCCATGAAGATCTTGTTACCAGGTGACAGTATTAAGATGACATGGAACATTCAGGAGGTGGGACCTGGTGGTAGGTAGGTCCTTAGGACAACTGAGAAGTACCGTGGAGGGGTTTGGGGTTCCCACCTTACAGAGACATGGAGGATTTTTTTGCTCATAGATGTGCAGAAGGGGAACCTGGAATGTTGAATATACAGGGATGTTCCTTCAAGGGAAAGGATGCAAAACCTGTTTTTTGCCCAGAAGGCTGGAGTGGCTGTGCCATGTGGTCTGGTGACCTTTGAGCAATCTATGTGACTGAAGATTTTCTGGCGCCTGAGCTTTCTCCATGCCCATTCTTGTAAAACTGTTTTTTCACATAAAGCTATAGAAGTTATATCTTGCTGGGCAGTGGTGGCACACACCTTTAATCCCAGCACTTGGGAGGCTGAGGCAGGAGGATCTCTGTGAGTTCAAGGCCAGCCTGATCTACAGAGCAAGTTCCAGAACAGCCATGGCTACACAGGGAAACCCTGTCTTGAAAAAACAAAACAAACAAAAATTGGATGATCACAATAAGCATCAGCATCTGGAAGAAGCCAGAGGAGTGATGCCTGGACAGCAAGAAACCAAATTTTCTCTTGGGAAATGGAAGGCTATCCAAAGAGAAGAAGGTCCTGTCGGGTGTTCACAAGCACTGACACCTGTACACTCTAGAGTCCTGCCACAGAGTTAGAATTCTCCTGTAGTGCATGGAAAACTCCTAAGCATGGGCTTTGGTACCTCCCTGGCAGGTGTTGGCAATAGAGTGGAGAAAGTGTGGACTTTGCATTGGTTGATGGAGAGACAGCAGCTACTGAAGAATGCATGAAAGTCATTTCAAGAATGTGAGTTAACTTCAATTTTCTGCACCAAAGTTTCTGATATCAAATAAATCGTTAGAAAATTAATTTTGCTCAAGAAAAAAGAAATATCAGCCGGGTGGTGGTGGCGCACCCCTTTAATCCCAGCACTCGGGAGGCAGAGGCAGGCGGATCTCTGTGAGTTCAAGGCCAGGCTGGTCTACAAGAGCTAGTTCCAGGACAGGCTCCAAAACCACAGAGAAACCCTGTCTCGAAAAACCACACAAAAAAAAAAAAAGAAAGAAAGAAAGAAAGAAATATCATAGGCACGCATGCAATAGAAAGAAGAGAGAGGTATTAGGAAGTAGATATGATCAAAATATTTTGTGTGCATGTGAATTATTTTTCAAGGTATAAAATATTTAAAAGAGAAGTTTGTGGTAGTTTGTTTGTTCTTTTGTTTTTCTTTTGTTTTGTTGTTGTTTGTCTTTTTGAGACAGGATTTCTCTGTGTAGCGATGGCTGTCCTGGGGCTCTCTCTGTAGACCATGTTGGTTTCAAACTCAGAAATCTGTCTTCCTCTGCCTCCTGAGTGCTGGGATTAAAGGGTGCGTGCCACCTCTGCCCAGTAGCACTTGCGGTTTGAATGAAAATGGCCCCCACAATGAATGTTTGGAAGGTTGGTTCCCAGTTGGCTGAACTGTTTGAGAAAGATTAGGAGGTGCACCCTTGTTGCAGGACGTGTGTCACTGAAGGTAACCTTGGGATTTCAAAAGCCAATATCATTCCCAGTTATTTCTCTCTTTCTGCCTCCAGCTTGTGAGTCATGTGTGTAAGCTCTCAGTTACTGCTCTAGTGCCACGTTCGCCTGCCTGCTGCCATGTTCCCATCATGATGGTCATGGACTCTACAACACTTTGGACCCTTTGGAACCATAGTTCCCAAATTAAATGCTTTCTTCTATAAATTGCCTTGGTCATGGTGTGCCTTCACAGCAAGAGAAATAATGAAAATAAAACTAAACTTCAAGGTAAAGAACATGACTTTGGCCAGGCAGTGGTGACCCATGTCTTTAATCCCAGCATTAGGGAGGCAGAGACAGGTGGATCTCTGTGAGTTCAAGGCCAGGCTGGTCTACAAGAGCTAGTTACACAGAGAAACCCTGTCTCAAAAAAATATATACTTTGATGGCAAGAAAGATGGCTTAGTCAGTATAGTACTTGTATGCAAACCAGGACCTGAATTCAGATATTTAGAAACCATATAAAGAGTTCGGCATAGGCCTGGAGAGATGGCTCAAAGCTTAAGAGCACTGGTTGCTCTTCCAGAGGTCCTGAGTTCAATTCCCAGCAACCACATGGTGTGGTTCACAACCACCTGTAATGAGATATGGTGCCCTCTTCTGGCAAGCAAGCATACCTGCAGGCAGAACACTGTATACATATAAATAAATAAAAATCTTTAAAAAAAAAAAATAGAGTTCGGCATAACAGCCTGGTTTACAAGCACTAGTTCCAGGACAGTTAGGACTGTGACATGAAGAAACGCTGTTTTGAAAAAAGAAGCAGCCGGGCGGTGGTGGCGCACGCCTTTAATCCCAGCACTTGGGAGGCAGAGGCAGGTGGATCTCTGTGAGTTCGAGACCAGCCTGGTCTACAAGAGCTAGTCACAGGACAGGCTCCAAAACCACAGAGAAACCCTGTCTCGAAAAACCAAAAAAAAAAAAAAAAAAAGAAAAAAAGAAAAAAGAAGCAAAAAACAAGAAGCAAACAAAAAGAGTCCAGCATAAGGGCACATCTTTTTGTTTGTTTGGCTGGTTTTGCTTATGCTTTTTCAAGACCAGAATGGCCTTGAACTCAGAGATTTGCCTGCCCCTGCTTCCCTGCTGGAACTAATGGTGTGTGCCACCACACCTAGTCATAAAGGTACACTCTGCCATTTTAGCACTGGGTAAGTAGAGACTAGTACCTAGGGTTACAGATATGCCAACCTAGCCTAGTCAGTGAGCTACAGTTCCAGGGACAAACTATATCTGAAAAGACTCCAGAGAAACAACCCCTAAGATTGACATCAGCCCTAAACATATGAACACATATACACCCACCCACCCCCCCCCACACACACACAGTGGCCCAACCACACACATAGGAGAGTAGAACTTTGAATTGATTGTATTTTTTACACGCAGGGGGTGGAACTTGGGACCAAGCACACACCAGGGAAGCCTTCTGTCACTGAATAACATCTTTAAACCTTGAGATTTTTTGTTTTGTTTTGTTTTGAGTCAGTGTCTCCCTACACATTCCAGGCTAGCCTAGAACTCACTATCCTGAGTGGGAATTACAGGTATGTATGACCATACCAGATCCCTGAATTTACTTGGTTTATAAAAAAATTAATTACAAGCCAAGGAGTGGTGGTGCACATCTTGAATCCGAGCGTGCGAGAGGCAGAGGAAGGAGTGCGAGGTCAGCCTGGTCTACAAGAGCTAGTTCCAGGACTCTCTCCAAAGCTACAGAGAAACCTGTCTCAAAAAACAAAACAAAACAAAAAATTGCAGTCTAAAAATTAACAAGACTTTTATTCGTTACTATCATTTTAAATTTTTAGTCTTAATAATTTTTTGTGTGTATTTGAGTGTTTTGCTTGCCTATATTGAAGGAGCAGAACAAACTCCATTTTGAAAAAGAACTCTATTTTAGACAGGACCTAACTGGGGGGGTGGAGGGTAAATGCAGCCCAGGAAAGTCATAAACACGTCCAAGAAAGTATGCCTGCCCTGATCAAAGTGGCCCACCAGGGTGTCCAAACAACACTGAAAGACCCTACAGACCTCCTCCTCAAAACCCGCAGCTAGCGTGCTCCGGGGGAATGTCCTGTTTGCTTTAAAAAAATTCTCCAGATCAGCAGCCAGCCTGCTCTCGTAAGAACATCCCACGTGCTTGAGAGAGCAGGATGTCTATGAGATAGGAAGACTGCAAGGCAGGATGTCAATAAGATAGGACATCAACAAAACAGGTTGACTGCAAAACAGGATATCTAAAAGATAGGAACAGGATGACTGTTGCCAGGCATCCATGCTGAGAGAGGAAACCATTCATGCCCCCGCCTCATTCGGATAACCATGCTTTTGCTTCTGTAAACTTGCTTTTGCTCTCCCCTATAAAAAGCCCGCCCTCCAGTTGGCAGGCGCGCAAGTCTTCTGAGAGATCTTGCCGCCCACAGGTACCTGTGTCTACTCAATAAACCTCTTGCGATTTGCACGCATCCATGCATTCTCAGCCTGCTCCTTGGCGTTGGAGAGGTCTCCTCCCGAAAAAAGGTCCTCGTTGAGGGTCTTTCAAACACCTGTTTGCTGTGAACATCCTTGTAGGTATCTGATTAACCACTGTTTTAAAATTCTTGTCTGCTGACAGTCACTGTTTTGCAAATCCCCTACACCCCATCCAATGAATTCAAAAGTTGTATACTTTGCCCAATCCCAAAACACCAAGGCTTGTGCCACCCTTCTTGCAGTTTTTAACCTTTAAAATCCTCTAGGCAGTTCTTCTTGCTGTGTCCGAGTGTTCAATTACGGTCCGAGTTAGCTAACTTGTAGTCAAAATACCCCAGTGTGTTTGCATGAGATATTTGGGAGCTCACCAAATCCAGCTGGACTGGGACTGAACAAGCATGTCATCAAACTGGACCCTCTGAATGTGGCCAACAATTGGAGCAGACTGAGAGCCAATGACAATGGCACTGGGAATTTGTCTTTACTGCATGTACTGGCTTTTTGGGACCTTAGTCTATCTGGATGCACAGCTTCCTAGACCTGGATGGAGGGGGGAGGGCCTTGGACTTCCCACAGGGCAGGGTACCCAGGCCTCTCTTAAGACTGGAGGGGAAAGGAGGAGGGTGAGTGGGGGAGCAGGAGGGAAATGGGAGGAGGGGAAGAAGTGGAAATTTTTGAATGGAAAAATAAAATAAATAAAAATAAAAATAGATTACCCCAGCCAGGCGTGATGTGGCACATGCCTTTAATCTAAGTACTCGAGAGGCAGAAGCAGGCAGAACTCTATGAGTTCAAAGCCAACCTGGTCTACAAAGCAAGTTCTAGGGCTTTTACACAGAGACACCCTGTCTCTTTTTTTTTTTTAAATATTTATTTACTTATTTATTTAGTATACAATATTTTGTCTGTGTGCATGTCTGCAGGCCAGAAGAGGGTACCAGACCTCTTTACAGATGGTTGTGAGCCACCATGTGGTTGCCGGGAATTGAACTCAGGACCTTTGGAAGAGCAGGCAATGCTCTTAACCACTGAGTCATCTCTCCAGCCCGAGACACCCTGTCTCTTAAAAATTAATCAGTTTGCCAGGCGATGGTGGCACACACCTATTATCCCAACACTCGGGAGGCAGAGGCAGGCAGATCTCTGTGAGTTCGAGACCAGCCTGGTCTACAGAGCTAGTTCCATTACAGGCTCAAAAGCCACAGAGAAACCCTGTCTCGAAAAAACAAACAAAAAAAATTAATCAGTTTAATTTGAATAGGGTATCCTGTAGCCCAGGCTGGCCTCAGTATGGATGTTCAGCGAAGAATGACGACTTGGCCTCTGCCTCACCCTCAGTGCTGAGATTGTAGGCTTACACCTCCACATTTAGACTCCTCCCTGTGTTTTTTTTAATATTTATTTATTATGTATACAATATTCTATGTGTATGCCTGAAGGCCAGAAGAGGGTGCCAGACCTCTTTACAGATGGTTGTGAGCTACCATGTGGTTGCTGGGAATTGAACTCAGGACCTTTGGAAGAGCAGGCAATGCTCTTAACCACTGAGCCATCTCTCCAGCCCTCCCTGTGTTGTTAAAGTATTAAAGTGGAGGCAGGAGAAGAGAAGAGCCCTGGCAGTTCTTGCAAAGGACTCAAGTTCAGTTCCCGGGGCCCACATGGTGGTTCACAAATATCTATTAAGCCCAGTCCCAGGAAATCTGATGTCCTCTTCTGACCTACTCAGGCACCAGACACACATGTGGTACACATGCATAGATGTAGGCAAAACACTCATATCATAAAAAATTAAATAAGGCCAGGCGGTGGTGGCTCACGCCTTTAATCCCAGCACTCCGGAGGCAGAGGCAGGCGGATCTCTGTGAGTTCGATGCCAGCCTGGTCTACAAGAGGTAGTTCCAGGACAGGAACCAAAAGCTACGGAGAAACCCAGTCTCAAAAATTAAAAAAAAAAAAAATTAAATAAGTTGTTTAACAGAGGTGGCACATACCTTTAATCTCAGCACTCAGGAGGCAGAGGCAGGTGGATCTCTTGTGAGTACAAGGCCAGCCTGGTTTATAGCGGAAGTTCCAGGATAGGCTTCAAAGATATACAGAGAAACCCTGTCTCAAAAAACAAAAACAAAAAATTAATTAATTAATTAACACAGAAAATATTCTTATAAATATTGAAAGAAAATTAGTTTAGGAAAATATGTCTACAAAGCTACTTAATGGGCCGGGCGGTGGTGGCGCACGCCTTTAATCCCAGCACTCGGGAGGCAGAGGCAGGCGGATCTCTGTGAGTTCGAGGCCAGCCTGGTCTACAAGAGCTAGTTCCAGGACAGGAACCAAAAGCTACGGAGAAACCCTGTCTCGAAAAAAAAAAAAAAAGCTACTTAATGGCTCCCACTTGCCTCCAGGTCAATTTCTAAAGGGCGCACACCTTTAATCCCAGCACTCGGGAGGCAGAGGCAGGCAGATCTCCAGGTTCGAGGCCACCTGGTCTGCATAACAAGTTCCAGGATAGTCAGTCAGAGCTACACAGAGAAACCATATCTCGAAACAACAAATTAAAAAGAGAGAGTGAGAGAGAGATACTTAATCACTACATGATTCTGCTTGGCCTGGAACTCCCTAAATCAGTGGTTCTCAACCTGCCTAATGCTGCAACCCTTTAATTCAGTTCCTCATGATGTGGTGACCTCAACCATAACATTATTTTTGTGGCTACTTCATAACTGTAATTCTGCTACTGTTAAGAATGTAACTATCAGCCGGGTGGTAGTTGTAAAGCTTTTCTGGCCCGATAAGCCTCTCTCCTGATGCAATAATCCAAATCAGACCAAATCAAACCAAAGGCAGATCTCTGTGAGTTCAAGGCCAGCCTGGTCTACAAGTTCCAGGACAGGCCCCAAAGCTACAGCGAAATCTTGTCTCAGAAAATAAAAAAAAAAAGGAATGTAAATATCTTATATACAGGATATCTGATATGTGACCCCCATGAAAAGACGGTTTGACACCCATGTTGAGAGCTACTGGCCTACATAGACCAGTTTGTAGGGCCCAGCCATAACATTCTCAACAGCAACTACCCAGGCACCATCCAGGAGCAGATCATCCAAGGAGAAAGTACCTAATGTTCTGAAGGAAATACCTAACATTTCAACCATTGCAGATAGGAGCACCTGATGTCTCTCAGCACATACCCACCCCCTTTCACCAGAACACTGCTGGACAAATGGCAGCAATCTGGGGTTCTGAACCTTAGAAATCCCTTACCCCAACCTCTGCTAAGATAAAACCCCACCCCAGCTCCCCAGCTGAGCTCGAGACTCTCTGATCGTGCCACTGCTTTGGACACACGGACAGTCCAAGTTCAAACTTGAATAAAGGTTCTTTGCTTTTACATATGGGACTCAGGCTCCTTGGGTTTTTTTTGTTTTGTTTTGTTTTTTGGTTGTTTTTTTTTTGTTTTGTTTTGTTTTTTTGCCTTTTTGTTGTTGTTTTGGGTTTTTTTGAGACAAGGTTTCTCTGTAGCTTTAGAGCCTGTCCTGGAACTAGCTCTTGTAGACCAGACTGGCCTCAAACTCACAGAGATCCACCTGCCTCTGCCTCCGGAGTGCTGGGATTAAAGGTGTGCACCCCCACCTCCCGACAACATTCTTAATTTGTAAAAAAAAAATTCAGATTTCTCACCAAAGGCTAGGTATGAGATAATCCTTCAATTTTTTTTTTTTTTTTTTTTTTTTTTTTGGTTTTTCGAGACAGGGGTTCTCTGTGGCTTTGGAGCCTGTCCTGGAACTAGCTCTGTAGACCAGGCTGGTCTCGAACTCACAGAGATCCACCTGCCTCTACCTCCCGAGTGCTGGGATTAAAGGCGTGCGCCACCATCGCCCAGCTCAAGTTGTTCTTCCAAAGGAGGATTTGAAACTATGGTGTGAACTTGAATGTGAACAAGCAACCAATGAGTGGATGACAGATTCTGTCCGGTGATGAGTGGTTTTCACTCTGTAGCCCAGACTGGATCCTGATGTCTTGATGGTCTTCCTACCTCACCCTCCCCAAGTGCTGAGATCATAGGCATGAGCTATCATGTCTAGCTCATGCCTAACTATAAAATAGTCCTTATTTTCAACAAGGTTGAATGCAAACTTGATAGAAAGAAGGGAGGTGAGGCTGGAGAGATGGCTCAGGGGTTAAGAATCCAATTACCTGGCCAGTGTTTAATTACAGTTCGCTTCACATTTGGCTTTAGCCGGGCGGTGGTGGCGGCGCACGCCTTTAATCCCAGCACTCAGGAGGCAGAGCCAGGCGGATCTCTGTGAGTTTGAGACCAGCCTGGTCTACAAGAGCTAGTTCCAGGACAGGCTCCAAAACCACAGAGAAACCCTGTCTCAAAAAAAACAAAACAAAACAAAACCACATTTGGCTTTAAACTCAATCATTGGGATTAACACTACCATAGTAGAAACTCCTTAAAATATATACTATATAAAAGAAACCTAAATGTAATCACCAAAGAACAGTGGAGACAAAGCTCCAACCAGACATCTCTTGCCACCAAGTAAAACTTTCAGTGCCAGGAATGGGTTGTATCTAATTGAGTTGCTGGTCCAAAGAGCCCCAGGGAAACCCCCAAAGGACTCAGGCTATTTCCAAGACTGTTGGTTGCTCTCCACAAACTGACAGTAAGTCCCTATTGCTGAAGATAACACTTACGCATCTCATTGAACACAGAGAAGTTGAGCTGGTGCCTAACTGGAGCCTTCACTCCAACTGGCTAGTCCTTTTGGTTTTGTTTTGCTTTGTTGCTTTTTTTGTTTTTTTCGAGACAGGGTTTCCCTGAGTAACAGTCCTAGCTGTCCTGGAACTAGCTCTTGTAGACCAGACTGGCCTCAAACTCACAGGGATTCACCTGCCTCTGCCTCCCAAGTGCTGGTATTAAAGGCGTGCGCCACCACAGCCCGGCTAGTCGTTTTCATAGTACTGGAAGGCACTGTGCACACTACCAGAGGAGAAAGGTAGACACCAACCTAGCTATGAGCCCTTTGATCTACAATAGTGACCTGACTGCATAATAATTCAGGTGCAACCCTGTCACAGAGCCGTGGGAGTAACCTGGTGTAGGAGGTTCTTCTGTCTATGTGTTGCTTTCATTGGTTGAATAAAGAAACTGCTTTGGGCTGGAGAGATGACTCAGCGGTTAAGAGCACTGACTGCTCTTCCAGAGGTCCTGAGTTCAATTCCCAGCAACCACATGGTGGCTCACAACCACCTGTAATAAGATCTGGTGCCCTCTACTGGCCTGCAGGCATTCATGGAGGCTGAACACTGTGTACATAATAAATAAATAAATCTTTAAAAAATAAAAAAGTACAGCCATCTTCCAGCTGCTTGCCAGCGAAGATCAGCCTCTGCTGATCGGGAGGAATTCCTTCCTTATCCTGGATCTTGGCCTTGGCATTTTCTATAGTGTCCAACTTTGTCTGACTACTACATCCAAAAGGAGTCCACCCTTCATCTGGTGTTGAGACTTCATGGTGGTGCTAAGAAAAGGAAGAAGAAGTCTTACACTACCCCCAAGAAGAACAAGCATAAAAGGAAGAATGTAGTAATAAGAGTGGCGGGGCTGCGTCCCCAGCACTCCGGCTGCCCACATGGCTAGCTTATGCTCCAAAATAACAACACATAAACTGTATTCATTTAAACACTGCTTGGCCCTTTAGCTCTAGTCCTTACAGGCTAATTCTCACATCCCGATCAACCCATCTCTAATAATCTGTGAGCACTGGTCTTACCGGTAAAGGTTCAGCATGTCTAACCTGGCGGCTTGCTTCATCGTGTGCATCTGCCTGGGAGCTGGGAGCATGGCGTCTCTCTGAGGCGTCTGCTCCCGAGAGGAGAGCTGTGGAGTCTGAGCTCACTTCCTCTTCCTCCAAGCGTCCTGTTCTGCCTACTCCTCCCACCTATCTTCCAACCAATAAAATGGGCCAAGGCAGTTCCTTTATTAGCCTCCATCAGAAGAAGGTGAAGCTGACTGTACTCAAGTACTATAAGGTGGATAAAAATGGGAAAATTAGTCGTCTTTGTCGGGAGTGTCCTTCTGATGAATGTGATGCTGGAGTTTTCATGGCCAGCCACTTTGACAGACATTATTGTGGCAAGTGCTGTCTGACTTACTGCATCAACAAGCCGGAAGACAAGTAGTTGTGTATGAATGAATTAAAAAAAAAAAGAGCTAGTTCCAGGACAGGCTCCAGAGCTACAGAGAAACACTGTCTAAAAAAATAAAAAATTAAAAAAATTTAAAAAAAAAGAAGAAGAAGAAACTGCTTTGGCTTTTTGATAGGGCAACACTTAGGTAGGCAGAGTAGACAGAAAAAAATGCTGGGAAGAAGAGTCAGAGAGAGCCGCCATGGAGATGTCAGGTCAGACATGCTGAATCTTTCCTGGTAAGCCACGACCTCGTGGTGACATACAGTTTATTAGAAATGGGTTGAATCAAGATGTGAGAGTTAGCCAATAAGAGGTTAGAACTAATGGGCTAGGCAGTGTTTAAATGAATGCAGTTTCTGTGTGATTATTTCGGGTGTAAGCTAGCAGGGCGACTGGGACGACAAGCAGCCTGCTCGTTCGTTCCTGTTACAGATTGGTGGTGAGCTAGCAGGCTGACGGAACAAAGGGCCACCCACGCTCCATGTTACAGTAACCAATCACTATCTGATTGGATTTAAGGCCCACTCTATGACATGGAACCCATGCCTGACACTGAGCAGACAAAAATCTGACACTAAATAGGCCATGGACCTAGTAGAAAACTAAATGTTAATGAACTGCTAAAGGAACATAGCAATATAAATTTCCTAACAACATTCTGTTATACCCATAGATGAGGTCTCATTCATCCATCACCAGGGAAGCTTCCTGCTGAAATAGATGGGAACTAAAACACAGACCCACAACTGAACACTGAGTCCTAAAGACTCTAAAAGTCAGTGGTCCTCTGACCTCCACATGGTCACCATGTCATGTATGAGCACACACCTACATACACATACGCCAGCCAAAATGTGGCAATGACAAAAAAGGAAAATCCTGACCTCATCAGTAGTTAACGTCTTCTACACCATCTGGTGGAACGAGTCATGAGCCCCTCATTCCTGTCCATGATGGGACTTTAGTGGGACCAGTCCTGTGCAGAATTCATGCAAGGGATCACAGCTGCTGAGAGCTGAGGGTAATGGCCATGTCATGTCTGGAGGACAATGCACGCGTGCGTGAATGTGTATGAATGTGTGTGCGTGTGTGTGTATGAATATGTGTGTGTACCTGTGTAGGAATGTGTGCGTGCGTGTGTATGAATGTGTGTGCATGTGTGTACATGTGTATGAGTGTATGTGTGTGCATATGTATGAATGTATGTGCATGTGTGTACATGTGTATGAGTGTGTGCGTGTGCGCGCGTGCACGCACGCATGTGTATTAACATATAGTCTCAAGTATTCCAGGATGAGCTTTGTTCTGGTTTCCTTTTGTCAACTTAGCACAAACCTAGACGTATTTGGAAAAAAGCCAGTAAACAGGACTCCTCCATGGCCTCTGTAGCACTTGCTGCCCTGAGTTCCTGCCCTGACTTCTAAGGACTACAAACTGTTGGATGAAGCAAAGCCTTTCCTCCCCAAGTGTTACTCTTTCTCAGGGTGTTTTATCAAAACTATAGAAACCTGCCGGGCGGTGGTGGCGCACTCCTGTAATCCCAGCACTTGGGAGGCAGAGACAGGCGGATCTCTATGAGTTTGAGGCCAGCCTTGTCTACCAAGGGAGTTCCAGGGCAGGCTCCAAAGCTACAGAGAAACCCTGTCTCGAAAAAAAAAAAAAAACCAAAAAAAAAAAAACTATAGAAACCCTAACTAAGACAATTTTTAACAAGGTAACCAAAGGTTGAACTTTTTTAAAAATTGTTTTTATTGAGTGATATATTTTTCTCTGCTCCTCTCTCCTCCCCTCCCCTTCTACCCTCTCCCATGATCCCCATGTTCCCAATTTACTCAGGAGATCTTGTCTCCCACGAAGATTAGATTCCATGTATGTCTCTCTTAGGATCCCATTTGTTGTCTAGATTCTCTAGGATTGTGAATTGTAGGCTGTTTTTTAATTTTTTTTATTTTTTTGCTTTATGCCTAAAAGTCACTTATGAGTGAGTATATATTATATTTGTCTTTCTGGGTCTGGGTCAATATGATGTTTTCTAGATCCATCCATTTGCCCACAAATTTCTTTTCTTTTCTTTTTTCTTTCTTTTTTTTTTTTTTTTTTGAGACAGAGTTTCTCTGTAGCTTTGGTGCCTGTCCTGGAACCAGCTCTTGTAGACCAGGCTGGCTTCAAACTCACAGAGATCCACCTGCCTCTGCCTCCTGAGTGCTGGGATTAAAGGAGTGTGCCACTACTGCCTGGCAGCCTGCAAATATCAAGATGTCATTTTTTTTTTGCTATGTAGTACTATAATGGATTAAATAAAATGCTCAACTGTGGACTGAGATGAACCTGGCACACAGAATACACCATAAAAGACCTAAATAACAGCGCCCCATACAGCAGGAAGCAGTTTGGAGAAAAATAACTTCGCCCATATTCCCAAATATTGTTTATAAATGTTCTTTTACATTTAAAGGAGGATATGATATAGATATGAATCATTTACATTGGTATAAATTTTACTTTATTGGTATATAGTTAAGGTTCATTTTGTTATATGTATATGTGTTTCTGATCTTGATTAAGGTATTATGATTGTGTAGTTCATTTAAAAATGTATATAGGTTGTTAATGGATAATCATCAATAAAAGTCAAGCTTGTAGTCATGTTAGTTAGACTTTCTAGATGTACATAGATATATTTCAGATAGGCATTCTTCATATCTTTCAAAGACTACAGACTATGGCATTTTAATGTTTTAATAACTTAGGGCTTTTCATGGCAATGAGACATATCTGCTCCTGACAGCACCAATCTACTTCAAGAAGAAGATGGACATCGAAGAGGCTCCTTATGGAGTTTGATAGCCATTTGGGCAAGAAACTGCTCTTGCCTGGACTGATGCATAAACTGGACACAGAGAACCCGCAGAGAGAGGACTGCTGAACTTGCCTAAAGGTAAGATGGTCTTTCGGGGTTCCTGATTCATGAAAGAGTCTGCAAGACATTCTGCAGGACACAACAGATAGTGACCGAACTGTCTTTGAAATTTCCTGCTTCATGGAAATGTCTGCTGGATACTATGGGCCTGTAGGCTGAAGATGGATGCCCCAAGGGTACAGGAAAACTTTGGGTGACTGTCCAGGCAGTGAGATGTCTCTGTCATTTCTAGAGTTTTGGAAGTTGCTTACCTCTTGTTTACTTAGGTAGTATTATATCATTCTGGAGTCTTTGATGGAGTTGAAGAATAAAGAGATAGTTATAGTTTTCCTTAGTTATGATAAAAGATAAAGTAGATATAAATATTGTAACTGTAGTTCTTGCTTGATAACTGTTTTGTTATATGTAATTTTACTATGTTAAAATGAAAGTCTTCTTTTTTGTTTAAACAGAAAAAGGGGAAATGATGTAGGTGGGTTTCTGTCTATATGTTAATTTCACTGGTTAATAAAGAAACTGCCTTGGCCCTTTGATAGGACAGAAAATTAGGTGGGCGGAGTAAACAGAACAGAATGCTGGAAAGAAGGCAATGAGGCAGACGCGATAGCTCTCCTCTCCAAGATGGACACAGGTTAAGATCCTTCCTGGTAGGCCACCACCTAGTGGTGCTACACTCATTAATAGAAATGGGTTAATCAAGATGTGAGAGTTAGCCAGTAAGAGGCTAGAGCTAATGGGCCAAGCAGTGTTTAAAAGAATATAGTTTCCGTGGAATTATTTGGGGTAAAGCTAGCCAGTGGCCGGGAGCCCTCCCGGGTGGTGGGAAGCGGCCAGCAGCTCCTTCTACAATCTAGGTTGCTTTCAGGTTCTGGCTATGACAAATAATGCTGCTGTGAACATAGTTGAGCACAAGTCCTTATGGTATGATTGAGCATCATTTCAGTATATACCCCAAAGTGGTATTACTGGATTTTGAGGTAGGTTGTTTCTTAATTTTCTGAGAAATCACCACACTCATAAAGAACTGAACTTCCAGTCTTCCTCTTTGTACTTCCAGAGTGATGGGTAACAGTGGTACACTACAACTACTATTTTGGGAGTTATTTGGTTGGTTTGGTTTGGGTTTTTCAAGACAGGCTTTCTCTATGTAGCAGCTCTAACTGTCCTGGAACTGGCTCTGTAGATCAGGCTGTTTTCTGTTATGCCCAGTCTGTGGGAACCCCAAAAGACCACCAGGGAGACTGACTCACCGAAATGCAAAAAGCAAGGTTTATTGTGTATACATTACAAGCCGGCAGGGACCTCGTCAGCACAGCAGCAGCAAGAGGAGGAACCCCACCCTTCTGGAGAACACTATTTAAAGGTAAAAACCAGAAAAGTTACATTAGCAGGGTGTGGGGTGACAGGCTCAATCCTGATTGGCTGACATTTGTCTAGGGGTGTCCTGGTGAAAAGTGATAGGTGTGTGCTGGCAGGTGATCTTATCTACAATAGTTAGAACGTTAGGAATTTCCTTTGGATGGTCTGTTCCTGGGTTGTGCCTGGGTAGTCTCAGTTTGTGGTCTTTCTCTGAATGAAGTATTGCCTTAGGGTAAACAACTGAGACTCAGGTCTCTCTTTGTGCTTTTTGTCATGGCAGGGTCCTACATTTTTGAACTCTACTTCCAGAAGTACAGGGATTAAAGACTTGTGCCATTACTGCCTCGCTGCAACTACTGTTCTATGTAATGTTCATCATCGAACCTAAAGGTTTTTATGCATGTTGGCAGGTGGTGGTAGTGTATGCCTTTAATCCCAGCACTCGGGAGGCAGAGACAAGGGCAGCCTAGTCTACAAGAGCTAGTTCCAGGTCAGCCAGAGAAACCCTGTCTCGAAAGAAAGAAAAGAAAAAAAAGAAAAGAAACAAAAGAAAAATTATCATTCAACACTCTTATTCTTAAAAAATATCCCTGGGGCAGGCTGGCAGAGCCCGCCATGAGAAAAAGCGGCGCGCTGCGCTGGCGGTGGCAGCAGTAACAGACATATAAACAAAGGAAATAGCCACATAAGAATTTATTAACAAGGAGAGAAA